TACATGGGGGGGGGGGGGGGGGGGGGGGGGGGGGAAAAGGGGGGGGGTGGAGAGGGGGGAGCCCCCCCCCCCCCCCCCCCCCCGGGGGACTCCTTTTGTAGTTTGAAATATTATTTTTAATTTTATTGCATTTTTGAAAAGGATTCTGATGCCGAGAAACCAGTGTCGTTTTTCGAAAAACGATCCTGGCAGCCCGAAACTAGTGTCGTTTTTCAAAAACGATTATGGCAACCAGAAACGAGTTTCGTTCTTCAAAAACGATTCTAAGAAGCCAGAATAGTTTTTTACGGGGAGAAACAGGACTGGACAGGGGAGAGGCAACGTGCGATTAAAGTCTACCGTGACCAGGTAACCTTCACTGCGGAAGTTGGAAAGGGTGTTATACGTTCTCTTACCGCCGTGCGCTGATACCGAGACGGTAGCGGTCAATGTAATAGGTGTCTTTTTTTACAAAACGTTTCTGGCAACGAGAAACTACTGTCCTTTTTTAAAAAACGATTCTGAAAAGCCAGAATCTTTCTTTTTCAATTAAATTAAAAACGATACCTCATACTACAAATGAAGAACCTGGGGGCCCTTCCCCCTCCTCACTCTCTTCCGCCAACCCCCAACCCCACCTAAACACCCTTCACGGTTTTCGCTGTAAAGGCGGCCTGTGCCTCGTAGAGGCGGTCATCTAGTCTTCAGCGCACGGCGAGAAAAAAACCGAAACTCCCTGAATACCCTGCCCGGCATTGGCGGTGAAAGCTGCTTGTGCGCCGTAGGCCATGATCGGCGACCGTCTCGGTCTCAGCGCACGGCGAGGAGAGACCGTACCACCCTGTCCGGCTTTCACAGTGAGAGCTACCTAGTCGCGGTACACGCACACCGCTGGTTGCTTCTCCCTCTGCCCACCCCTGTTTCTCTCCTCAAAAATGATTCTGGCTTCTCAGCATCGTTTTTGAAAAACGAAACTAGTTTCTGGTTGCCAGGTTCGTTTTTGAAAAATGAAACTGGAAACTAGAAACTAGACACTAACTTCAGCGTTCTGTGTCAAATTACAAGTTCGGTGTTACTATTTACTATGAAATGCTAGTTAATGAAGTACAGATGTGCATTGAATGCACAAATTGTCACATATAATATCGGTGGGTCTGAGTACAATTAGAACACTAGCTATAGTTTTAAAATTATTTTTATATTTTTAATTTTAATTAATTATTTTTATTTTCTGTAATTTTGAGTTTATTTCTTTATTTCTTTATTTCTTTATTTATTTATTTTTTTTGTTTGTTTTAGATTCCCAGTATACTATTTTTCAGGACAGCTGATAATTTGAATGAACCTGTTACTGTTTATAAGTGAAGAAAAATTTCTAAAATTTCAAAATTATCCACTTATATTTTCCGTCAAATCTGCACCGATTGTCCCCAGCTACGATATATCCCCTGACTTCAATAGTCTCAACATCAACAATACCCTTCCCCGCTCCCCCTCAATACAAACACACACACACACACACACATCAACATTCACAACAAATTATCTGATATTAAAACTTCTCTGTAGTACAATGTTTTCAAAAGTGCGCTTTTCCTGGACCCCAAAGTGACACATTATTATAAATGCCCTGAGAAAATAAGGAAACAATTACAGAATTGTTCTGTGGGTTTTCGCGGCTTTTCCAAGACGTCCACGCCGAAAGCGCCATCTATTTCCGTTGTGTCGAGAAGTTAATGTGTTGTGTTGCGATTTTCTTTGTTGTTGTGTCGAGAAGTTAATGTGTTGTGTTGCGATTTTCTTTGGTGTTGTGTCGAGAAGTTAATGTGTTGTGTCGCGATTTTCTTTGGTGTTGTGTCGAGAAGTTAATGTGTCGTGTTGAAATTGTGTTGTGTGTCGAGTGTTTTTGTTGTGTGTTGTGGCACTTATACGCTTCCATAAATATGTGTTATACTCACTTTTGATTACATTCCATACCTTTTTTAATTGGACTTACTTAAAATATTTCACACATATCCCATNAATCGTATTTTGGTCTTTATTTTTTAAATGAATTAAGCCACGATTATGGAAGTGCTATCCAGTTAGCAGACGCTGATTACAGAGACTTCCTGAAAGAGCACAATGAAAGAGGACATTTTAACAATACGATAATGTTATTTATGAGCGACCACGGTTCACGGTACGTATATATAGAGCTACATCTTCATCCTCTCTCTCTCACACACAAACACACATACACACACACATACACATACACACACATTCAGCGCACATAACTTTTAACTTCTTACCTTCTTACCCCCTTCTTTCGCGCAAAACTCTCTCTTTCTCTGTCATTAAAAGCTAATAGATACAAAGTAACTTCTTTTTGTTCATTACGAAGAGTCCTCTCTCTCTCTGTATGTCACACTCTCATACTCTCACACTCTCATACACTCTCTGCATTCTTATTTATACTTTTAACGAAGGCCAGTCTGTCTGTTTATATTCACTTATATCTGTCGTTTCTTCAAGGTTTTTCGGGCTCCGTTCCACCCCTATTGGTCACCTAGAAGCCAGCAACCCTCTGCTAACAATGGTTCTGCCACCATGGCTCAAGCAGCAGTACCCGCACATAGCAGAAGCTGTAAACTCGAACGCAGAGCGATTGGTTACTCCGTACGATATCCACGCTACGTTAGTCGATATCCTTCACTCTGATTTGCCAATTACCAAAAAGAGTACCAATGGCAAGAAACGTAGAGAAAGACTTGCGAAAGGAATAAGTTTGTTCCAAAATCTTCCCAGCAGGACGTGTGCCTCAGCAGGTATACCAGAAGACACCTGCACTTTATGTACACCACTGGAACCAACTTTTCTGGATATTAATTCACAGAAAGCACGCTTCATTGCAAACGCCGTATTGACCAAAATAAATTACGTTCTCGTCAATGCGACATCAGAGTGTGACGTTTTACTGATTTCAGATATTACTTATATAGCCGTAACCTCTTACGACAGGCTTTCTGTTACTTATATTGTAATTGTTAAGACGGTACCAGGGAGCGGGATATTTGAGGCGTCTGTACTTGAGACGAGGGCCATGGCTTCTGACTCCACAGAGAGCCAATATACTGTTATCACACCAGTTATACGTATCAGTCTCTATGACAACAACTGTTGCTGTGCAGAGGACAGTCGCATAGACAAATACTGTCATTGCAAGGTGACACGTAGGCAAAGCCGCAGTAAGGTCTTCCCGTTATATTATTAACAAAATTCAGGGGTACTTACATTTATACTTCACACTATATGCTGGTTGTTAAGGGGGGGGGGGGAGTGGGCAGGTGACCAGAGCCTAAATGTAACAGATTGAAAATATGTTGAAATGTATTCAGTTCTAGGTTGTTATCAAAGCTGGCCTGTACAACCCGTGGATTACACGTTTTTACATTAAAAAAAAATACACGCAAACTGTAGTACCCCAGCATTCAGACAGAAAGATTCAAATATCAGCACTGTAGAAAGAACAACAGTTTTTTTTTCCATATTTGATATCGCAAACTTGTCATTTGTCTTTATTTTCTTAATGAATTCGCTTCAGCTATGCCTATGGTATTAATGAGAAATTTGGCAACAAATCAAGGAATTTTTTAATATGATAGAAAGAATTCCCCTGAAAGGGTGATGTACACACTTTTGAAAAATGGCAAAGTTGCCGAGACCCCCTTTAAATGGTATTCCAACCGGGCGGTTACAACGGGGTAACGTCACGTGCGTCACATACCGTGCCAGCTACATTAAAAACAGCGTTAGGTACTAAACACATTTCTTAGCGCATGTTTTGTTACACGCATTAAGGCTGAATGTGTTTGGCAATGTGACTCGTTTTGGAAGATCTGAAATTTATTGAAACAGACCAAATATATGCATATCATTAATACAATATAATAAAAAGAAGAGTTCACTTCTTATATACTGACGTTCACTTCCACTATACTGACGCGTCTCAGCGTAGATTACAGACGCCAAGTCTCTTTTCGCCCTGATACAATCTGGGTGTTGACTCTATGGGGAGGTTATAGGCTATAGCCCAACATGCCGTACAAAGCTCTGAAAGCAAGCAAACGAGAATATCTTTCTCTCCCAGACCAGGAAGTTTATCCCTGCTTCAATCCCAGAGTGCCAAACACAGTATGCGCCGTATATGATTATAAACATGATGATCTTTATCAGCTCTAGCACATTTTTATAAAGGTTCGTGACCGAACACATGCATAAGTAGCATAAATAAGTATATGAAAAATTAGTATAATGATCGAATCAATTTACATACATGAAAGCTGAGATATATGAAACATTGGCTTTGCTATTAATGTTAATATCTGGATTATTACACTCATCTGACACATTTCTCTCATTTACTAAATAAATATTTTCCCCCCTTTTTCAAGATCGTCAGTCTTCAGTTCTCGTTGAATGGTTTGCCATATAACTAGACAACACTCGTTAAACTTCGCCGAGGCAGCTCAATTTCATCATATTCGCAACTCATGACAACAAAAGGGTAATCTGGACCTCCACCATAATCCAAACTGAAATTTTTATCAAAATCTTTTCATAATTTTTGCATACTGTCTCTAACAGATTAGTAAATTAGTGTTTTTAAGATCACCACCAAAATCTAATCTACTCTTATCTATCCGATCCATTACTGATCTATGGAATCTTGAAAATTTTATCGACATCCGCCCATACATTTACTGACACACAAATCAATTATTTCATTCATTATTCAAGCATTCAGGGACAAAAACTCAAAGGCACATCACCAAACACACACACACACACACACACACACACACAGAATGAGATAAAGGTCCACTTAAAGGCTTCTTTAAGGATCTTAAAGTTATTGGAAAGGGTGGACCAAATAACGGTAGCGGCGCTATTATGTTGTGAGACATATCATACAGTAAGATTAAGCCGGGAATTCAAGAGGCGAGGGTAAGCCTGCTTTTTTGTCCGACTAATGTAATGTAATTGAAGAAAATTTATTCACTCATGACATGGGCACCGCACCCTTTTAAAATTGATGGCCATTTTGAATGTTTTTTAACTTAGGACACTTAATGCATCTTTGGTTATCTTTCATGTACCAAATATCATATTATAATTTATTTAAGTTTTAAGTAATCACCATCTAAATTTATTTATTGCATTATTATTATTATTATTATTATTATTATTATTATTAGTTTCACCATGTCATTTATTACTTTGTGACTAAGGTGTACATGTATCTCGATCCTTTACAGTAAACTTAACCATCAACGTACTCCATTATTTTGTGAGATAAAATTGCATACATGAGTGTTTATTTGGCATTATGCAGATTTAGAGGGTTAAAACATTTAAACACAAATAATTGTTAGGCCATTTTGTTTTGCTTAAATGTTAAAACAATTCAACCTAAGCAAGTTACTGATTGCAGTAGAGACGATGACTTATCTACCCAGTACTACCCAGAACTACCCAGTTTGTCAAACATGGCAAAAACTAAATCTAAAATTAGTTTTGACATCGTAAGACAAAAGAGATTAGCTATAAATATAATTTAGAAGCCTTAAAATCTGTTGACTTTGAAACGTGGTCCATGTTTTTCGCGCAGTTACTTTTAAGTTTTTAACTGAATTGAATTCAATTCAATGCATTTCTGTACTGGTATATAGATTATCATCACCTTGCACAATATAATATAAAAACAAGCATACTATTGTTCATAATGATGGAATTTAAAACTGTTCAATTTCTACACAATAAGCTGTAAGCAGACCTGAGAGCTTTCGTCCCAACACTTGGGACAACATCAGTCACACTGAAGTTATGTGGCAGTGTATGCTGAACGGTTAAGTGAGAACTGTTCACTATATCACTGTCCCAGATGTGAGATACCCTCTACCAGGGTGGCAGATATTATAGGCACATTTTCCAAATTCCCACCCTGTAACTTTTGGAAGCAATTAAATCTGCTGCACGCGTGCAGATGGCATTGCACCCGCTCTGCAGGGAGCTACTACGGGAGACTTCTCGGTTAACTTAATTATGAAGTAACAAGCTCTTCAGAAGGGGCTATTTTTATCTGCCACAAAAGATCAAGTGAATAAAATCAGAGCAATTAACTGTCTTGATTGCTGTCAAAGGGACTTGCATGGCTTGGGCCTGTTAAATGGCAGTGCCTGGGCAGTTATGCAAACAATTGCCAGCCATGTAATCATCCTTAAGATTTCATCACAGGGTGACAGAGAACCAAATGGGCGTCTCTTTAGCTAAAGACATGTCTGTGAATATCTTGTGAAAAATCAGTCTGTGGCCTTGGTAGAGAGTATGGATGTGAGACAGGTTGTGCCCCCCCTCCCGCCCTTGTTTAGTGAAGGTCTCTGGGCCCGAATGTACATGGGTTTCTTCGTCCCCTCGATTGAACCACAGGCGTGTGAACAGGTGCCTCACCATTGATGTGTCGCGAAACCTCAGAAGTGTTGGAACAACAAGGTCTTCGGTGTTCATTCTGCATCTAAGTCCACTGGTAACAATTGTGCTAGCTGTACCTTTACGCTACCCTTCTCTGTGTGTGTACATGCGCTGGAAATAAAATGTGCTATAGTTGTACAGTCATACTGTCACAAAAACTGAATGATTGGGGACTTCAAGTGGTCATTGTTAAGTGGGTCACTGACTTCCTCGCGGAGAGGAAGCGATGTGTATAAATCTGGAACGTTGATTCTGAATGGCTCACCAGTAATGCTGACATATCACAAGGACCGAAGACGTGTGCTATTCGAGGTCATACCCATCGGCCTCACAACATGCTTTGAGACCTTAAAAGATGCATGTTAATGACACTTATCAGTGTTGGCAACAATGACTCTTCTGGCCAATTACAGACTGCAGTGACAGAAATCTTCATCTAGTAACCGGAAAACAAAGTTCATGAACTCCAGCAAAACAAGGTAAATACACTATAAGGTTCAATTTTTTCGATCATGAACTCCGGTCATGAACGACAACCGATTACAATAGATGGAAGTCCCTCCGAGTTGGATTGATCTACGTGGACTAATAGTTTGATTGGGAATGGGCCCATATAACTACCATGAGTGACATTACTAGGTACAGATAGAATTGTTGTAGTAAATCATTATAGTGTTGAATTAAGCGACTGAGCACCATGGTTTATTTGACCGCCCACTACCTTCGCCGACATGCTAGCTGACCGCTGTGGACACGTAACTGAAGTAAAACAAAGGTAACAAAGGTTTGTCCGTCATCATTTATATGACTTGTGCTGTGACGTACCAAATTGATACAGCTGATTAATTGTAAAAGTATATTTGAAGTTGTAAAAACAAACGCCCTTTACTAGAGAATTTGTTGGTAAGGAACAGCTTATTACACTGCGGAAGTGACATGAGGTTTGTCCATTCCGTGTTTAATAATAAGTCATATCAAGGCGAAACTCCACAGTGAAAGACGACTTCGGTATGCCCCGGTGTGACAGGAATGGTAGTCCCCTAGGAACCATAGTCTGTTCCCCATTACTTTATACAGGTGACATTCGTCCCATATACTAACCCCAATACTGCGTCTAAACCTAAACCGTACTAATCATATGGGATCCCGGACTTCCATTCTTAGGACTACTATTCCTGTCACATCTGTTCTATCTCGCATCTAAGGGGCTCAGTACCTACTACCAGGACCCCAGATTAATCATGTACACTTTTTGTCTTTGCGCAGTAGAGAAAAGACTCATGAACCAGAGGCAGATCTGTGAATATCTAGTGAAAAAATCAATCTGTGGTCTTGTTAAATGGTAGGGGCTTAGTAGGTGACAAAATAGACAAGGCCATGTGGATTTTGTGTTTTATAACATAGGCCTACTTAGCAGTCAACTTGGGCTCGAAACGCCACAGTAAAAGACAAATGAAGCATGGATCGTGTCAATTTTGCATCCATGAGATCCAATAAATTGCAAAATCGACATGTTGCATGTCGTTTTTGCATGATTGGGGCCATCTGAAAAACTCACACACAGGCTTCTGTGATGGTAAAGTTTCACTTGGCGTCCATTACCTCACTATGCATGGATGTATAATGCATGAAGTGTGCTAATATTGAATTATTTCTACAAGTTTCTGTCATTTTCTGGCTTACGTATCCCCATAGCATACATTTCATATAATTGCACATATACGTAGGTGTTGGTAGGCGAATGATTTGAATTAAATTGATTCTATTTTTGTGGCCCCAACCTCATGTTATGGTCACCTTGCTTTGACCTAAATTACATTTTTAAACACGTTTTACTCAGTGGCCACACAAAGCGGAGAGACGTGCATGTACGCAAGGCGGAACAGGGTTGATTTATTTCCACATATAAATTACAATAGTCCGTGGATCAATAGTCGAATGCTCCTCCCTAACCCCATTGAGGATTTTACTTACCTATGCTTTTCTTAAAGCTTTGGTCCTCACCTATCAGTATAGGTTTATCATTAACTGGTAGTGGGTGTGAGTGCCAGAGCTGTTTCCAGGGCAACGCAAGGGTTTAAAAAATTGAAATTTCAGTGACCCAAAAAATATTCTATATTTTAAATATAAAAAGTAAATGGGATACAATATTTTCCAGTATGTGTAACCTACAAAATTTTAGGTTCTAGACCTTAGTATACCCTCTACCAGGTCGACTGATAGATTTTTACAGATATTCACAGATATGTCTCTAGCTAGATAGATGGTCATTTTGGGCTGAAGTCACCCTGTTGAGGAATCTCAAGGCTGATTAGGCCTATATGACTGGTAATTGTTTGCATAACTGCTCAGGCACTGCCACTTAGCAGGTCCAGTCTAAGTCTGCGTGACAGCAATCAAGACAGTTAATTGCTCTGACCGTAATCACTTGCTTTTATGAGACATAAAAATAACCCCCTATGAATAGCTTGTTACTTCAGAGTGAGGTTAACTGAGGAATTGCCTGAAGTAGTTGTAGAGTTATATAAATAATGGTGCAGTAGCAGCCTGAGAGCATTGTTACGGTATTGAACGAGAAGAAGCAGATCGGATACTAAGAAAATTTTGGGCTTTTGTAGGGGTGACAGAACATCAATTTGTAGCAGTGAGTGCTGCACTCAGTGGGAAAGACGTGCATTTTGGCATTCCTACAGGAGGTGGGGAAAAGTCTATCCAGCTGCTTCCATTTCTAGAAGAGTCCTTGCCAAATGTCCCCTCTAACGTGACCACTTTCAAAGAACTTGTGTACGGCCCACTCTTTGGTCCCACTACAATTGAACTCTTGAGTCTAAATCAAAGATATATTTATTTCAGAAGATAAGATTTTACCCGAATCACGTTGCCGTAACCTACGGGTGCAGTGTACAAGGTCCATGTAGGCTACTTATGTCACAGTTTTCTCCCTGGCCGAAGTAAATAATTTTATAAAAAGTACTATAAGAAAGGGAGAGTCAATAAACCACTGATAATGATATTATGAAATCAAACTGATGTTGTACCGCGAACGTACGTAGAAGGCTGCACTTCGTAGTTCTAGTACTACTACCAGCGAACACCAATCTACAGCATATCCTAACTGCGGCAGACGTTTTTCAAAGAGTCAGTAATAAGTAAGCCATATATAAGACTAAATAGAGTCTATATTATTGCATACGAAAGACAATACCTCCAGGAATTTATTTTTCGAACGTCTTATCTCTCTATTTTTTCGTTTATTTTTCGGAGGAAACACCTGACGTGATAGCCGCCATTTTTTTAAAGCTGCAGTACGGAATTGTGGGATATGGCTTACTTCGGGAAACCCCTTCCAACCACCTGACTGGTTTCTGAAGACAGCAGAGCCTTAGACAGGTTGCGTAACGGGCAGTTAGCACATCGTCGCGAAGCGAAGCTCCTGCAGAGCGAGTATAAAGCCTACTGCGCGCGGGCAGAGATAATTGCTCCCACATGGGATTCCTCAACAGGGTGACTTCAGCCCAAAATGACCAACTATCTAGCTAGAGACATATCTGTGAATATCTGTAAAAATCTATCAGTCGCCCTGGTAGAGGGTAACTGTAGTAAGGGTTCATACTAAGTTGACATATCACTACACTTGTAATTTTTCTCAATGACCATTTTTTCATGTGATATGTTTTTCCCCATATTTCAGATGAAAATTTGCCCGAAATCGTTGGTGCTGGTCGCCTCTACCATATGTTTTCTGGGACTATATCAACTGTTGTCTGTTGTGATATGGCTACGTTTCATGAACAGCGGTTACTTAAATGGACTAACCCACTTAAATGGACTCACGGCGAGAAAAGAAGACATAAAGTTGAAGAATCATATACAAGATACACGGTCAATAACATGTAAAAACACGACAGTGAAGAGACTAGATCCGTGTCATCCCTCCATTCTGCCATATATTACTCATTCTCCACCGCTGAAATGTAGACGACAGACATCAGTGGCTGAAAGTAAAGTTGACGGAGACGGATACTTGATGCTTATCATCAAACACTATTCCAGAGTAACCGATAACATACACTGTTATTATCAATACATACGACACCCGACAAAACCTTACAAAGAGGATGAGGCATTTGTTTTAAGTAAGAGGATTGATTTACCTCCAGCAAATAGAGTAAAACTTCAGGAGGATTTTGTGTATGTTTCCTGCATGAACAAATCCGGATACAAAGTTTATGAGAATTTTCATCTCCACATGGTAAAAAGAGCTGAGTTTATTTCCGAAAAATACACTGAAATAACAGGATATCAACCAAGGCTGAATGTGTTAATTGTGATCAACGACGGAGTGTCGATGTCTAGTGCCGTTCGTTATCTTCCAAAAACAACAGAATACTTAAGAAAAGCAATGAACGGCATCATTTTTTCCGGGTACCATACAGTTGGTGAAAATTCTCTGCCAAACCTTTTTCCGCTTCTGACGGGATTACCACAGTCTGAGGCCAGTATTGATTCCCCGTTTATATGGAATCATTTCTCAGAACAGGGCTATAAGACATTTTATTTGGAGGACAAAATATACGCAACCTTCACGTATATAGATCCCGAGCCTACCCGGCCCCCGACAGACTTCTATACACATCCTTTCTGGGTGGCAATGGAGAACTCTTCCTTGTATTGGGACTCACAGACTTTCTGCCTGGGCAATGATCCTATACATCGAATTGCACTTCAGTATCTGGAATATTATATTAAAAATTATCAACGTCATCCATATTTTGGACTTTATTTTTTTAATGAACTAACTCATGATGTTGACAGCCCTATCCAGTTAGCAGACGTTGATTACAGAAACTTTTTGAAAGAACACAACGAAAGAGGGTATTTTAACAATACAATAATATTTTTCATGAGTGACCATGGTGCAAGGTACGAAGAACTCTCCCCTCCATTCTCTCTCTCTCTCACGTCACACATACATTAATAGTAGATGATAACTTTCACCATTTCTCCGTACACCATTCAAATGAACTTCGTCCCCGTATATTAGCTCTCTCTCTCTCTCTCTCTCTCTCTCTCTCTCTCTCTCATAGACAACCTTTAACATCTCGTGATAACTTATTGCCCCTTTATAAACCCTTTACGCTTTATTTCTTCAAGGTTTGGCAGGTTCCGCTCCACCCCTATTGGCCGCCTAGAAGCCAGTAATCCTCTCCTGATAATGGTTCTGCCCAAATGGCTCAGGCAGCAGTATCCACACATAGCAGCAGCTGTAAACTCGAACACAGAGCGATTGGTTACTTCATACGATATCCACTCCACGTTAGTCGATATTCTTCACTCTGATATACCAACTTATACCGAAAGCATCAATGGCAAGAAACGTAGAGAAGGAATAGCTAAAGGAATAAGTTTGTTCCGAAATCTCCCCAGCAGGAGGACGTGTGCCTCAGCAGGTATACCAGAAGACACCTGCACTTTATGTACACCACTGGAACCAACTTTTCTGGATATTAATTCACGGAAAGCACGCTTCATTGCGAATGCCGTATTGACCAAAATAAATAACGTTCTCGTCAATGCGACATCAGAGTGTGACATTTTACGTATTTCAGATATAACCTACATAGCCGTAACCTCTTACAGCAGGTTTTTTGTTACTTATATTGTAGTTATTAAAACGGTGCCAGGGAGCGGGATATTTGAGGCGTCTGTACGTGAGACGAGGGACATGGTTTCTGTCTCAACAGAGAGCCAATATACTGTTATGACACCAGTTATACGACTCAGTCTCTATGACAACAACTGTTGCTGTACAGAGGACAGTCGCATAAAGAAATACTGTCATTGCAAAGTGACGCGAAGACAACTTCGCAGAAAGGCTGCCCCGAAAGATTGTTACCAAAATTAATGGGCTGTTACATCTATACTTTACAATGTATGTACAGATTGTTAAGGGTGGAGGGGGGGGGGGGAGTCAGGCGACATGAGCCAGATGAAACAAATTGAAAATATGCTGTAATGTAAGACAGAAAGCTGACCTGCACCACCTTTGAATTACACTTTTTAACATTTAAAAAGTACCTGCTGGCTGGAGTATCCCATCATCCAGACAGAAAGCTTCAATATCAGCTTCAGGACTGGAGGAAGAACAGCGTGATCTCGCAAAATTATCATTCTGTCTTTATTTTCTAAATAGATTCGTATCAAGTAAGCCTGTGGTAATTATTAGAAGTTCGGCAACATTTCAGGAATTATTTTAAAGATATGACATAAAGAATTTCCATGAAATGGTGATGTAGACACCCAAAAAGTATCAATGTCGCCGAGACCCCCTTTAACAACTCATATATATATATATGAGAAACCGTATAAACTTACCACAAAGTAATATTAATGCTGGTATTAGGCAATTGCTAGTCACCAGAAAGAAACCAGTAGTCAACAAGTTGGTTCTGTACAGAGCGGGTTAGTAAGCACCACGTTAGGACTGAAATGGAAGCCTGCGATCTTTATGATAGTGTGCATATTTACAGGCAGTATTTTATTTTATTTTCTGGCTGTTACAAGTAAACCCTCCATAGACCTCAGAGGTGGAAATCCGCGTATTTCTTACGGAGGAGATCCTACGATTAAACCGTAAGTTGTAAAATCTTCATACGTTTATGAAAGTTCTAGTGTAATAGACCAACGGTTTTCTGAACATATACATGTATATTAGAGCAATATAAACGCCTTATGCGTAAAATAATTCAAGTCATTGTGTAAATGACAATTTTTATCTGGCCTCCTTTAAAACCTACATCGACTGCATCTGTCTATCTTAATAATAATTAAAAAGAAACACATTATTTATTTATTAACTTCTCCTTACACTTAGGATTGCAATTCTAGGTGGCTTCAAAGTCACAATCGTGTATGGGAAAATTTGAAACAAATTTATTACCTTTGGCATTGGCAGTGATGGTCAAACAATGTTAGGACAAAATTCTGGAACTGAAATTGACAACAAAATCACCCCAGCATTCATTTTCATTTCGCCGAACTAATTATATGTAAAAATGTCTTTCAAGGTCTAAGACGGAATGCTTAATCGGGGACTTGAAGAACTCCTTAGTGTATTGGCCTAGTCGTAATGCTGATTCAGAAGTAAGTTTAACCGCCAGAAATGAGTCATATAGAAACCACTTTCCACAGACGACATGTACGCCAAACAAACACATCGTCTTCGTGAAAATACCAAAAGCGTTTTTAGGTACAGGTATTAGGATTCTTTAACACTGTAGCACATAGAGTGAAAAAGTCATGGAGTATGTATGGCCTTATAGTGAAGGCCCGTATGTATGGTATTCAGAGAGCTCTACCATGCGGGGCATTTGTACACAATTTAAAAAATAAAAAAAAAAAACCGAGACCTGTCTAAAGCTGAACTCTGACTTTCACGCACACACCCATAGGGTTTGTCCAATCGCCAGATGTTTATTCAAATGGTATTCCAACCGGTTACAATGGCGTAACGTCACTTGAGTCACATGCTGTGCCAGCTACATTAAAAACAGCGTTTAGCTCCTAAACACATTTCTTAGCGCCTGTTTTGTTACACGCGTTAAGGCTGAATGTGTTTGGCAATGTGACTCGTTTTGGAAGATCTGAAATTTATTGAAACAGACCAAATATATGCATATCATAAATACAATATAATAAAAAGAAGAGTTCACTTCTTATATACCGCACTATACTGAAGTGTCTCAGCGTAGAAAACGAACGCCTAGTCATTTTTCGTCCTGGTACAATCTGGGTGTTGACTCTACTGCCTCCCTGGGGAGGTTATAGGCTATAGCCCAACATGCCGTATGAAGCGCTGAAAGCTAGCAAACCAGAATATCTTTCTCTCCCAGACCAGGAACTTTATCCCTGCTTCAATCCCTGAGTGCCAAACACAGTATGTGCCGTTTGATCATAAACATGATGATCTTTGTCAGCTCTAGCACATTTTTACAAAGGTTTATGACCGAACACGTGCATAAGTAGCATAAATAAGTGTATGAAAAATTAGTATAATGATCGAATCAATCTACATACATGAAAGCTGAGATATATGAAACATAGGCTTTGCTCTTAATGTTAATGTCTGGATTATTACACGTATCTGACACATTTCTCTCATTTAGAAGGTAATTATATTAATATTAATTGGCCATCTCGCTAAATGTGATATTTTATCATAGTGTCATACTGCGTTATTTACCTTTGCCTTGACAGACTGCTGTGTCCCCAACGGAGTCAAACCCATGTTCTCCAATTTGGAAGGCGGGCACTCTGAATACTAGGCCATCCGATAAGCGGATGCTGAAAATCACACCCGGTTGGAATGAACCGCCCTTTTTGTCCGGAAAAGGTCCATTCTGGGTAAAATGTGATCTAGCTAAACAAGGGTTTCATTGTAAAAGGTCCACTTTTTCAGAAAAAGAACCGACCTTTTAAATTTGCTGGCTTAGGGCCTGAAAGCTATACGTGTTTACACATATTCCTAAACGCGTTAAGGGTGCTAAAAGTGTGTTATACAGGTATGTCTTTAAAAGCTTAAGTGAATAACACTACTTTTTTTTAACAGTGAATGTCACTTTGTGACGGTACATGATTATGTCTTCTGTTCTTTTATCCATTGTAACTGGCGTAAGCATAATTAACATCATTTTCTCTATACAAATGTTACACAGATGTTGGTTCCTCGTTTTTGTTGCAGCTTTTTTGATGCCCAACCTTATGTCAAACTTTTAAATCATATATTTAAATGTTACTTTCTTTTAATCTCATAATATATTGTATAAGCTCAGTTTCTGTTGAATATTTTTGCCCCCAAATGAGTTGGCATAGTTGTTATATATAAACTTAAAATACCCACCACAAAGGCCTATTTACTTCATACATTTGTTTTTCGTAGTGACTGCTGCTTGATACACAATGTTACTAGTGTAACAGCTCTCACTGTACTTTATTTACCAACCCGAGTTTACTCTGTGTGTGAACATGGCAGAAACAAGAAACGAATGTCTTTTAATAATTTACAAATAAATAAAATGAACTTAATGCAGAACTGAACTAACATAGAAAAATTTAAATGAACAACATTAATGAACTAAAGATACTTACTAAATTTCTAAACAAAAATAAGGATGAAAATAAATGACAAGCACTGAAATTATTAAACAAAATAACTTAGAGAAATACAAAATGTTAACACAAAGAAAATGAAAAGCAAACCAATCAAGTCTATCTCACCTGTGTGTGAACATGGCAGAAACAAGAAACGAATGTGCTGAGTAAAAAAGCGGGGCGTGTTTTATATAGAAACGAAAACACACGGACACAAACGAAAAGGCACGAACACACTTCTCTACACTAACACAACCACAATCATACATCATACATACACATGTTACACTAGACAAACATCCCTCTCGCATACGACACTTGTTTGGCAATCTACAATTGCAGTTTTTCTATTGCGTATTTACTGCCACATTGTAGTATTTTTTTATTATGGCCCCAATTAATTTGCTACAAGTTCTTCATGCAGTCGTAGCTAACCTTTGCTGATCTATTGAATATTCTGAGAGAAATGTTTGCCTAACAATTGGAGAAAGATATAATCAAACTGTATTTTAACGTTTTTTTGGGTGAGTTCAACCAATTGCCACGATTTTCACTATGTTGTTTTCGTCATATATATATATCACCAGCAACCCGTATAAACTTACAAAAAATTTAATACTGGTATTGGGCATTTGTTAGTCACAGAAAGACACCAGTAGTCAAACAAGTTGGTACTGTACAGAGCGGGTTAGTAAGCACCATGTCAGGACTGAAATGGAAGCCTGCGATCTTTATGACAGTGTGCATATTTACAGGCAGTATTTTATTTTATTTCTTGGCTGTTACAAGGAAACCCTCCATAGACCTCAGAGGTGGAAATCCACGTATTTCTTACGGAGGAGACCCTACCATTAAACCGTAAGTTGTAAAATCTTCATACATTTATGAAAGTTCTTGTGTAATAAACCAACAGTTTTCTGAATATATAGGCCTACCTTTATTTTAGGGCAATACAAGCGCCTTACGCGTAGAATAATTCAAGTCATTATATTAATAATTATAGAATCGGCCTCGTTTATCGTTTAGTACCCACGTCAATTGCATCAGTCTATCTTAGCAATAATTAAAAAGAAACACATTATTTATTCATTGACTTCTCCGTACAGAAAGGATTGCAATTCTAGGTGGCTTCAAAGTCACAATCGTGTATGGGAAAATTTGAAACAAATTCATTACCTTTGGCATTGAAAGTGATGGTCAAACAATATTAGGACAAAATTCTGGAACTGATATTGACAACAAAATCACCCAGCGTTCATTTTAATTTCGTCGAACTAATTAAATGTATAAAATTCCTTTCAAGGTCTAAGCCAGAATGCTTAATCGGGGACTTGAAGAACTCCTTAGTGTATTGGTCTGGTAAAAATGTTGATCCAGAATTAAGTCTAACCACCAAAAATGGGTCATATCGAAACCACTATCCACAGATGACATGTATGCCCACAAAACACATCGTCTTCGTGAAAATACCAAAAACCGGTTCGACCACAGTAGCCAACGTTTTTCTTCGCTATGGTTTTCGTAATGATTTGAAAGTTGCCCTCCCTGCTTCTACAAACGGACTTAAGCTGAAGCAATCGGAATATGACATCATGAGGGATAAACTGGACAGAAATCCGCAGTATGATATAATGGCGCACCATAGTAAATACGATCGAAAGGCAGTGGAGAAACTGATGCCTTCGGATTCAGTCTATGCTGTTATGCTGAGAGAACCAGTAAGTCGTTTCAAGTCTGCTTTTGGTTACTCAAATGTCAGTAGAAAGTTTGGTCTTCGGGG